GCTGAGGGTTTGAGGAGGTGATTGCGGCTTTCCGCGCAGAACACAAAACTTGAGGGATTTACCTGGGACTCTAATTACCTACAGTTTTATGGGCTCTGCCTACTCATGATGGGGTCATGGATGCTACATTGCACCCTAAACCCTAAACCCTAAACCCTAAAGAGACTTACAGACAGTGTTCCGGACCTGGGTCGAGGACTGATTTTGAGCTTTGAAGGATCCAGATTGCACGACCCTGCTAGCCGTAGAGTAAGCCCCAAAAAATTGGAAACTCAATAGCCTCTATCCTTAAGAGTACTGCAAAGGGAATCCCAGCACTAATTGTCCTTAATCCGGTTTCCAACTTTTGTGGGGTTAGTACGGGGCTCCCCTAAACCCTAAACCCTAAACCGGCTCCATGTACCTAAATGAAAAGCTGCTGCGATTTTAAACCCCCGAAGCCCGCCTCCCACAGCTTCCCAAGGGCACCCAACAGGGCCTGGCCGGAAGCTTGAGGGGGTTTAGGGTTTAGGGTTTAGGGTTGAGGGATTTGGGGTGTCTGGTTCCCTGTTGGGGCTCTAATTTGACATGATCAGTTTCAAAACCTTTAGTGGGTTTTATTATAGCAAAAATGGAAACATGCATCCAGCAAGAACCCAGGCTTAAAATTTTGGGTTTAGGGTGTGATACAGACTAGAAGCCTGAACAGTATTGTTGTACTGGGTTTAGGGTTCAGGTTAGAGTTTACTCCAAGGCTCTGGTTGTAGTTGCCAGCAGCGAAAACCCTAGCTCATGTAGCAGGAATAATGGTCCCTCTTTACATCTCAATAAAAGACTGCTGCAAGTTGGGGGGCAGAACCCCAGTTCAGGGTTTAAGGTTTAAGGTTTAGGGTATATGGTTGAAGGCTTGGGGTTTAGGGTTTAGAGTGTAAGGTTGAAGGTTTGACGATTGCAGAGTCGAGGAGATCTACCACGGCCTGCCCCGCTACGAGTTCCCCCTGTCGATTGGCTTGGAGGCACCACGGTTTGCATCTAAATTGACTGCTATCCTGTGACTCTAGCACTGAAAAAATTTCGCCACAAGATCTAAAACACCCGGCTCATGTCGTGGGTTGAGGATGAGGATGAGAAGGAAGAGGAGGAGGAGGAGGAGCAGGAGGAGGAGGAGAGTTTTTGCTATGATCGCCAATGATCCAAAGCGTTGTGTTATCATGGGTGAAGTCGTGAGTCTACAGCCGAAGCCGAATCTTCCCCCAGCAGCTACACATGCAGTCTGCGATCCGCTCAGTTTGTATTTTCAATTTGAGAAGACCAACAGAACAGACCCAACAGAATAGACCTAGGGGCAATACTCATAATCTCTCCTAAACCCTAAACCCTAAACCCTAAACCCTAAACCCTAACCCCACCGTGGGGAATCTCTTCGGTCTGTCCGACTGTCCCTTGGGGTTGGTTCTCCCTGTACTTGAGTCTTCAACTTGGAGGCGCAGGCGCGGGGTAGCTGCCTCAAAAAACGAACTCTAAACCCTAAAAACCTAAAAAACCCTAAACCCCTAAAACCCTGAACCCTAAAACCCTAAAACCCTAAACCCCTAAACCCCACCTACACCCCAGGCCCTGAGCTGGAGAACTGCACCCCAAACACAAAGCTTTGCACCAAGCGATTCTGCTTCGACTCTTTGAAATCCCTGCGGTTTAGGGTTTAGGGTTCAGGGCCCAGGGTTTAGGGTTTAGGGTTTAGGGTTTAGGGATTTAGGGGTTTAGGGTTTACGGTTTAGGGTGCAATTTCTTCTCTCATCCCTCTGAACTACAACGGGCAGTCCAGATATGCACTCCTGACATGTATGTACCCACCAATCTCAGAGTAATCCTACGACCCCACATTTCTGGAAGCCTAGTATATACCTACCATTTGGGTAGTTTTCTAAATTAGGGTCCCTTCCAGGATCCTTTTTACAAGGGTGCCGTACAATTTTCGGACATAAATTAAAAAAGGAACCCTAATTTAGAGAACTACCCATATGCCATACAAGAAACAAGGGCCCATAGATCGAACCCCACTAGAGAAGGCTGGTTCATCGAGATCCCAAACTCATCCGCCCTACACCCTGAACCCCAGCGTCGTTTCCCGCGCCGCCACCCAACTCCATGGCAAGTGCTTGCAGCTGGACTCACGTTGAAGACGGGTTTTGTGGCCTAGTCTTTGTCTGCACCTGCATCCACCAGCACTCGCACCACTTCGAGGTGGCCTCTCTGTGAGGCGATGCAGAAGGGTGTCGTTCCATTTTGGTTGGCGTAGTCTTTGTCTGCACCTGCACCCACCAGCACTCGCACCACTTCGAGGTGGCCTCTCCGTGAGGCGATGTAGAGGGGTGTCGCGCCATTGTCGTTGGCCTTGTTTTTGTCTGCACCTGCATCCACCAGCACTCGCACCACTTCGAGGTGGCCTCTCTGTGAGGCGATGCAGAGGGGTGTCGTGCCATTTTCGTTGGCCTTGTTTTTGTCTGCACCTGCACCCACCAGCACTTGCAGCACTTCGAGGTGGCCTTTCTGCGAGGCCGCCCACAGGGGCGTCCCGCCATTCTCTCTGGCCTCGTCTTTGTCTGCACCTGCGTCCACCAGCACTCGCACCACTTCGAGATGGCCGTTCCGTGAGGCGATGTAGAGGGGGGTCTCGCCGTCCTTTGTCGCCTTGTTTTTGTCTGCACCTGCATCCACCAGCACTCGCACCACTTCGAGGTGGCCTCTCTGTGAGGCGACCCACAGGGGCGTCACGCTATACTCTCTGGCCTGATCTTTATCTGCACCTGCATCCACCAGCACTCGCACCAGTTCGAGGTGGCCTCTCTGTGAGGCGATGCAGAGGGGCGTCGCGCCACTGTCTTTGGCCTTGTTTTTGTCTGCACCTGCATCCACCAGCTCTTGCAGCACTTCGAGATGGCCGTTCCGTGAGGCGATGTAGAGGGGTGTCGCGCCATTGTCGTTGGCCTTGTTTTTGTCTGCACCTGCATCCACCAGCACTCGCACCACTTCGAGGTGGCCTCTCTGTGAGGCGATGTAGAGGGGAGTTTCACCATTCCGGCTGCCCTGGCTTAGGTCAGCCTTGGCCTCGACTAGCAGCTTGGCGCTGGATGTGGAGCCCCAGCACGCTGCCAAAAACAGGGCTGTCTGGCCATGGCTGTCTTTAATGAAGTCGGGATCGAGTCTTTGTCGAAGCAAAGTTTCCACAAGCTTGGCATCGTTAAATCTGATGGCATTAATCATGGTTCTAACCTGGCTCGCATCCGCTGGGCAACAATTGCACACGACCACCTGGACTGTTAGTGGCAGGTCCGGCAGCTCCAAGCCCGCATCATGTGGCAAAGCATCCCCTGGGAATACCAGCTTCAACCGGAAGCGTGACTCACCCATGACAGGCGCCAAAAACTGTATAATGTCCTCCTCCGTCAGTGTTTTGATCTGGTCTCGCGGCTGGGTTGCCACCTCGCTCCCAGAAATAGTCTGAAAATGCAGCATGGCCGCCGGTACCTACTTTGCATACAATTCAACTTCAACCTAGCCTACTAAAACAGCTATACACGTTGACAGTTGGACGATAGCTTCTATGAGCTAGAGTTGTTATCATTGTTTAGGGTGCAAGGGTGTATTGGGTTTAGTTTCAAGTTCAGGTATAGAGCCTTGGTTTTTCTTTTGGCCGGGCGAAGAGTTGGAATATAGGGTTCAGGCTCAGGGTTGTGGATTCAAGCCTTCAGGGTTTGAGTGTTGCGCGTGGCATGTGGAGGGTTTCGGGTGGTGTTTGTGGTTTCGGGCTTGAAGTTTTCTCACCGAAACTACAGACTGGTATGAGGCTGCACGGTCCAGCTTCCATATGGGGGTTTCCGAAAGTAAGGGACCCTAATACAGTACCCTAAATAATAGGGTCCCTATTATAAGGACCCTAAAATAAGGTACCCTAATTTTCGGAAACTCCTATGTTCAGCTTCGCGCTGAGCAGACCAAAGGCATGTGGGAGGCTGATATTGACAACCAGGGCAGCCCCTCACCGGACACCTGAAATGCTAAGCCCTGAACCCTTATATAACCGTATGAAACCCTAAAACCTGAAACCTGAAAGCCCTCGTCCGAATCGTAGTTCGGCTTGGAATCCCGAGCCTAAGCCTGCGGCTGAAGTTCTGAAACATTGGACGCCATGTAACTGCATAGTATATACTGAGGCCTAGATGGGGTGTCTATATACATATCTTAAGGTCCAAGTATGTATGTATGTATGTATGTATGTATGTATGTATGTATGTATCTATGTATGTATGTATGAATGTATGTATGTATGTATGTGTGCATGCATGTATGTATGTATGCAT